TCCAATAAATAATGAATTATACATGAAAGTTTGTGAAGTCCTTTGTTTCCGAAATTGTTTACAATACATATTATTTCCCAGGTGAGTGCATTGTCTTTAATAATCAAGTCTCATTTTTTTGCCTTCACTTCAAAGACCGAGTCCAATCAAAAATGAATTATCTATACATGAAAGTTTGTGTAGTCCTTTGTTTCCGAAATTGTTTTTAATATGTATTATTTCCCAAGTGACTGTTTTACAAAATTATTGTACATTGTGAATGATCACTATCTCCTGATAGTGTTATGTGTACATATTTTCCTCAGCAAAGGAAGAGGTGCGATTATTGGCAAATATCCCAATGGTCAAAATGAATCATTCTTAGGTGTAACATGAAGAATAGAATGTCATATAATTCTTTGGATGTTGACCCTTTGAAACGCCTATGGACTTGGAGACTGGATTCTATCTATCCCGCATCATTTGAGACTGAATGCTCTATCTTGTATGAGTACTTGTATCTACAACAATTTTTGAGGTTATGAGTATTGGCTATCAATTGGCCATCAATTTCTAATTTTTTCTTCAACATGTATTGTAATGACTTCAGTATGAATGAAATGTCCCTTGATCTTCTGGTCTTGGATTGTGATATTGGTTCTTGAATGGTGGGGGAAAGGGGGTATTAGACATTGTTTCTTTTCACGTTAGATCATGGTTTTAGGCTATATGGGGTTTGTTTTTCTTCACTGGTATGCACTTAGAGTTTGCTTTTTCTTGCTAAGTTCCATGACAACTTTTGGTCCTTTCCCATTGGCATTTGTGCTTATATATTTGTAAAATATTAAAGTGCTTGGGCACACATAAGCTGAGATAGGGGTCATTCCGTTCAGTAAGGTTGTATTGACTTACATGGGGCTGTCCACCATGATGTTATCATTAGGTCTCAATAAAGGCCATTGGATTCCATTGATTATCTCAGAAATACCAAAAATACAGTATGACCTGAATTGATTGCAAACGTAATAATTTCTCAATGACACAAATTGTTTATCTCATCAAATGTGCAAATATGAAGTTTGCAATCGATTCAGGTCATACTTTAATTTAAAAGATTGTACATTTTTTTCATCATTTTCCCCTACAAAAGAAAAATTCTCCAAATACAACTTTTATACAAGTTTGTAAAACCAAAGATTATAATATTATATTTCATTATTTAGTATCATATTTGGATACAATGTAGGGATGCATAAGATGCAAATGGATTTTGATAGACACAAAAATACGTCCTGGTTTGGAATCTACACCTCTACACTTCATGGTTGAATTATGAGCCTAATAAGGGGAGGCATCAAAAGTTCGATGTCGGATAGAAAACTAAATAAATCTAGTTAGGGGGGGAGCGGGTTCAAACCCATTTCAGTTTGCTATCCGACAAATTTCAACATTTCAAATTTTTGGCAATTTTGACTCAGAATGCCTTGGAATAGTTTAAAAATAAAGATTTTACCTGATGCTTTCTTCGTCAAGATCATTCCAAAGGATTCTATTCTATCAATAAGTCAGCGATCAACTTTCATGGTATTTAGTTTTTGGGGGGAGGGGGGGGGGGGGTCAGAGTCAAAACTAGAATTATTGAGTTTCCAATCCGACATTGAACTTTTGATGCCTCCCCTAAGTGGCCAATACATCAATACAGTGCTGAATATAGGTCAACAAGATACTAGTGTGCATATAAATGTAATAATAAAAGCAATTTTTTTCACGGGGAGATCATAATGGCGAGCGCATTACTTCCTTTTATTTTCAAAGAACACATGATGAATCTTTTATTCCACATTCTCAGGATTTCATTGACATTTATATAATTCATGGAAAAGTAAGTCATAAGAAACAGGTACACTAACACTGAGTTCCACCCATTCTAATGATGCACGTTTGTGCTTATTTTGAATATCCTTATGGCATTAGTGTTTTGGTCAGAGTAGGTTGTGAAATCACTAAAGAGAAGTCATGAATCTTATTCCATAAATACCTGAAAATTATATGTGATCACAGAATTTCTGAACACAATCGGATGTACCCGAATGGTGTCTTATTCATAATGCAATAAATGAAACCATTTGTGGTCTGTATGTGCAGTCTATTTGCCTTATGATAATACATTTACTGTAGTACATTGGTTCTCCTAATATTATTTCCTCATAAATATCCAAACTTTAATCAACAGCAGTTTCAAAATTATTGTATATTGTATTTCACCTGAACTTTTGTAAAATATAGTATATGGTATGAGAGCTGTGAAAAATATTGTATATGGTATAAAAGGGGTGAAAAAATATTGTATATGGTATAAGAGAGCTGAAAAAATATTGTATATGGATTTCCAACACCCCCTATACACCCCCCCCCCCCATCCAAAGTGAGTATTTTTCCTCATACAGTATATAGTTAACTTATGGCCACAACCTTGTATTCACTAAAAAGTAGATTTGATGCAGTTGCCATCTTTCAGCCTTATGGCAAGTCATAATATTTTGTAAACTTGATTAATACAGAAGGTTGAAATTGATTTAATTACAATTGATTATAACTGAGTTTTCATTAGACTAGGTCATGGTACGGTTTGGTTAACCACATCTTTTGCTGTTGTTCTACTGGAACTATCAGATCATCAAGAACTGCTTTGCATCTGTAAGCAACCATATCTTAAATGTTATTTGCATATCAGGCACATTAAACGAAATATAGATAAAACTGTATATATATGTGTTGGGGTCATTTTGTCCCAATGCTTCATTATAAACGTAAACATAATTTTATTGGCTTATGCCTTATGAGGGTAGAACTTCTGCTCGAGAAGAAATTTTCAATATGGCCTCTTAATTAAGAATGGCCACCATTTTTCTTAAAAATGTAATCTTTGATTACTCAAATACTACTTGACAGATTAGGTTCAAATTTTATATGCTGATGCGTAGGGACAAAGGAGCTATGCTGAAGAAAAGATTTCCAAAATGGCTGCTAAATATCAAAATGGCAGCCATTTTTCGTAGAAAAGGATAATCTTTGATAACTCAAATACCAGAGAACGGATTTGGTTCAAATTTTAAATGATGATGCCTAGGGACAAAGTAAAAGACCATGTGCAGTATGGCAAGTGATTTAAGACAGTCATATCTTTCACCATGAGTACTTCCTGTCCATAAATACAATGGCTCTTTTTAAAACAATATGTTTTCTTTCAAGTGAAGTCCCCATGATAGTAAAATATCAATCCAACTCTCTGAAAAATTATAGATTAGGGCCCCACCCTGGCACTTTTTGAAAACTGTTAGGCTTATTTTCTAAAAAGAGGATCTTGTTTTTCTCAATTTAAACATATCGAAAGTCTCCTCTACACTATATTAACAATTTCTGAAAATGGGGTGGGTATTGAAATCAGTTAAAGTTAAAAACCAAATATCCCATGCTATTTTCCCATATGGAAAACTCGTGCTTTCCATTGTTTTCAGCATAATTTTGGTCATCGAAAATTGATATCTTCAAAACTAGACTTTCAATACCGTTCTATTTTTGAACATGTTTTAGACCCCATGTTTTCATGCAATAAAAATCAGAAAAAGAAGATCCTCTTTTGGGTAAATAGGTTAAATATTTTGAAAAAATGTTGACATGGGGTCCCTATTCATAATTTTTCAAGTTGTTTGATATATATTTTTATCATCATGGGTACTTCACTTGAAAGAAACTTATTGTTTTAATAAAAACCACTGTATTTATGCCTAGAAAACACTCATGGTGAAAGATATGACCGTCTAAAATCACTTGCCATACTGCATGTGGTCCTTTTGTTCACGAAAGAATTTTCAAAATGGCTCGAATTTCAAAATGGCCGCCATTTTTCATAAAAAACTAAATCTTTGATAACTCAAATTCTAGTCGACGGATTTGGTTTAAATTTTATATGCCGATGCCTAGGGACAAAGGAGCTATCCTGAAGAAGAGATTTTCAAAAGGGCTGCTAAATACCAAAATGAAGGCCATTTTTCGTAAAAAAACGTAATCTTTGATTACTCAAATACCAGTGAATGGATTTGGATCAAATTTTGTTTGATGATGTCTAGAGACACAGTACCTCTGTTTGACAAAGAATTTTTAAGATGGCAGCTGAATTCTAAAATGACCACCATTATGTAATCTTTGATAACTCAAATAGCAGCAAACTTTATAAATGCTGATGCCTAGGGCACAGTAGCTCTGTTCGAGAAAGATTTTCAAAATGGCGGCTGAATTTCAAAATGGCTGCCAATATGTTGATGCCTAGGGACAAGCAAGCTCTGCTTAAGAAGGAAATTCAAGATTACAACTCATAATATACTGTTTGTTCGGTGGGATTGCTACTCCATGGAGTTGCTGTTTTTTAGTTTTGAACTGATACGCTTCTAAGATATGAGATCTATTAAAAAAAGGCTCATCATAATTTCATGAAAAACCCTTTTTCATCATAAGTTAGCGATAACAACGTCCCTTATAAGTATTTATTACAGGTTGTGTAAATCATTGTTGCCTGATTTATAGCAAAAACAATGAATTTTGCACGTTGGTGACGATGTGCTTTTATGATAGATCTCATATCTTAGAAGCGTGTCAGTTCAAAAGAAATCCTAGAAGACCTTATCTGGCAATATTCACATAATATTGTCACTGTTCCCTTTCATATTTGTTCCACTTGTTAATGATACCCTAAGGCCAATTTATTGAAATTTTCAACCCGATATATCAAATAAAATAATATAAATACAGGGTGAGTTGGTGTGGTAATCCCTTAATGTTTCCTAACCGTAACTATACCATAATGTCTAATTTCTATGTATATGTATTATTATTATTATATGTTATAAAGCTCCACTAACAAGCTTTGCTGCAAATATTTGTACACTTTGAATTTTGATCTGTTTTTGAAACGTTAGCGAGTGTATCTTTATATACCGTATGCATTATTTATGTTGCTCCAGAATATGCAGGCCATGCCAGAGCCATGATGAAGAGGCTAGACCTAGATGAGTGGTATGGAATCATAATCGTATCAGGGGATGGTCTCATATTTGAAGTAAGTACATTATGTTAATTTGAAACATAAGTGTAAATCCTATAGGTAATGTGAAAAAGTCACTCCAAAATCTTCTTTTGGCTTGTTTCTTATGTTATGAACCTTGTTTTATTTTTTTTATTTTTAGTTGATGCATTTGTACTGATGTTTCCTATCATTTAAATAGCACAAAATTGCATGTACATGAATTCATTTACAGTCTTTATTCACCAAACAAAAGAGTCTCTTATCTGTTAATGTTAATCAAATGATGTTACTTACTTGATGTATTCTAGGTCATAAATGGTCTTATGGAGAGAGACGACTGGGCAGTTGCCATTAAGAAGCCAATTGGAACTATACCTGGGGGGTCAGGCAATGCCCTCAGCTGTGCCATCAATTATGCTGCTGGGTGAGTAATTTAGCCATGACCTGTCATAACCTATCAGAACACAGTCACTGTTTCAATTGTAAGGACACAGATTCAGAGATGTGTGCCTCTTTTACAGGATAGAATGTTAGCTTATTCCAAACAAATAACAGTTTTGCTTCAAATATATAGATCTTGGACTGAATTATATGTTTGGTATTTGCCTTTCCAATGATCATGGTCTTGTTAGTTTTTTTTAAATGTATTTCGATTGTTATATATTTCATTATTCATATATTCATCATGAAGTTTGTCAATCATACTTAGAGTTCCAACAGGGATGTCCAAGGATGTCAATTATTATCTTAATAAGATGACTGGTCATTTAGAATGTTTACCACCGTGTGATTTTCGGAAAACTTGGTGGTGGCCTTTGCTGTAGAAATCACTTGTAAACATTTGAAATAATCTTTATGTAGTTAGGGGAATCTTTCACCCTCTAATCATTTATCTGTAATGGCTGCATAGCTGACAGTGAAACCTGTACATCCAAACACCTCTCAATGTGAACACCTTCAGTCCCAAATCTGCCATTGTTTCACAAATTTAAATTGTGAATATCTACCATTCCAAACATTTAGATTAGTCATTCAGGTTCTACTGTAATGAATATGAGCCACCAAACAGATTCTTCTAAACTGCTAATTACTAGTAATTGCTCACACTGTTTCCTGTCCATCATGGAGCATTCCATCTAGCTTTTCAAGAATGTTGGGTTAAAAAAGAAACGGTTTCTTTTTGGAGAACCATTCAAAATATTTCTGTAATTAACTCCACATTATTGAAAAAAACTAGAGTTTTGGGTGTCAATTTTTAACAAATGAATGTTTCCCCAATGTACTGGGAGCAGTATGAGTGCATTGGTAGGTGGGGAAGTACTAAAAAACGATCAGAGATGACCAAATAAAACTGCACCTAATGAAAATCACTAATTCATACAGAATAATATCTTTAAGGAATGTGTGAGTGTCAATTAACTTTAAGGACTAAATTGATTTATTCAGGAACAATTAAAAGCTACTGTTTGCCCTGTCAATGGTCAATATATTCAAATTTCATCTTTTACCTAAATCAATCATCTCAAACCTATTTGCTGCTGAGTATTCGACTATTCATTTCACCTTTAATTTAAACCAACATCCTTAGAAGTTGGTCCTAGATAGCCAAAAGAAGTTGTCATTTAAATCCTAATATTAATTCTCATCTTAATAGCAAATACTATGTAATCTTTGAAAAAACTGCCCTTTTGCTGTTCATGTTTTCACACCCTGAATTTGAAAATTTCCAGATGTTAACATCCTGGAATTGTAAAGGCTTGGTAGCGATATGTTGAACTAAATTCAACATTGTTTTTCTCTTCAACAAGTTATTGAAAACATTCTGTAAAAACATGATTCTTTATGTAATGGTCATTGATTGACAACAATTTTATAATTGTTTCTGTGAACGATTTTTGTTTTTTAGTGTAATTGTTTTTGTTCTTTTCTAACAATTTTTGACAAATTTTAAAATATCTTTCCAAACCTTGTTGGAACAAAATGGCATATACAACATTTTCTAAGATGTCTCAATATCATAGTTATACAAAGGAAACTTAGGTTCATTAAAAAAGTACCCAAAAAATTAAAATAAAACCACCTAAAATAGATAAAAATAAAATAAAATATAGCTTTTATTTTTTTAACAAGATACTTATTTTAAATGAACCCAAGTTTCCATTGTACAATTAGAACTGTACAATATTGAGAGACCTAAAAACAGCTAATATTTCATTTTGTTTCAACGAGGTTCGGATGTTTCATTTTATTCCAAACATATGGTACCAAGAACAGAAGAGGTGTCAAATGTGTTTTCTAAAACTATATATAGAAAAGTAGATTTTTTTTTCAAGTTGAATTGTTACCATTTATAAGATGACCATTAAATTGACGATGTGTAAAACTTAAAGAATTTTTGATGACTAGTTTAAGAGAAACATGAGTTCAATTTAGTTCACCATATCGCTACCAAGCCTTTCCTCATGTTCACACACCCTGACTGATATTGTAAATTTCTACATGTTCCTACCCTGAAGTTGTGATTTCCACATGTTTATAGCCTGAATTGTAAATTTCCACATGTTGTCTTGTTTCAATTTATGCACACATATAGAGAAACTGTCAAAAGCTAATTCTATGCACCGGTGGAAGCTGAACCAGACTAACTAGCGGCTATTTTAGGGGTAGATGGTAAGTGGCTCTTTTTCTATTTTTCCTCTCACATTTTGATTTGAGTAACATTTAGCATATTTCTAAATCTCTCTTCATAAATCGTTCCGATAATTGAATGTGAAATTGTTGGTGAATATCAAATATATGAGAATAAAACTTTGATATATTATTTTCTATGGTAATAGAGAAGAGACAATGGAATTATACATGTTACTCAATTCCAGTAGATATTTCATGTAATGCAATATCTGTTCAAAAGACAGAACTTGCAAGTTGTCATGTATCAGCATTCCCATAGAAATCTTTTGAAGAAAACTGGAACTTGAAATTGTATTTGAACATATTAGGAACACATCTGATCATATAAAAATGAAAAGCTTTATTGCAAATTTTAAATATTTCATGCATGTTTTTTTTTCATTATCCCAACAGACAAAGTTTGGAAGGGATATAAAGAAGGCTGTACATTTGTTCTTTCATCCATCTATTTGTTTGTTAGTTCATCTATCCACCCGATAAATCAAATACTTGTTGACAGATTGGGCTCTAAGTCTAATTTTGTGGATTGAGATTTGGTTCTATGCCTAGAAGGCTAATGCCACTTAATAGAGGAGTTTCCATATAGCTCTGAAATCTTGTAAAAGTCTCGTTTTAATGAGATTTTAGGAGATCTGCATTTTTAACCATTAAAGACCAACATTTTCTTCTATTTGATGACATATTTGAATTCTGTGTATAATTTTCCATTGAAGCAATTTTGATTTGCAAAGGTATTTACCTTTATTCAAATTTTAAGGAATTTCATGTTTTCTGAAAAAGGCTAGGCTAAATCCACATGGACGCAATATTTAAAAATCGTTAAAAGATCATATACTCTTCACAATTGTAATGTTCAATCACAATCCCCATGTCAATAAGTTCATATTGGTATATTCCAATTGTAATTTACATTAATCCAAATAGAATTAGAATTAGAATATAGAAAATGGTCAATTCAAATAATCTTTGATAACTCAAAAACTGGTTGATGGTTTTGTTTCAAATTCTATATACTGATGCCTCAGTGACATTAGAACCCTGTTCAAATTGAAATATTCAAGTATATTGAATCAGAATTATATATAAACATCATTAATCAAAGTCCAGTTTTTACAGGTTAAAAGCTTTTTGGTGTATAGCACCTCTGCTTGAGAAGGAATTTTCAAGACGGCTGCTAAATTGAAAATGGACGCCTTTTCTTAGAATTTTTTTTGTAGTTACTGGAGGAGTGAATTTTGGATTGGGTCTGAATTCTATAGACTGATGTTTTATGGATGTTGGACCTCTGCTCAAAAAGGAATTTCTAACCCTTATAAAAAATTCAACCTTGAAAGTCCGAATTTAAACCGTTGCACAATCATTGTACAATCATTGATCCGATCATTTATGCAACCATGCCAACCGTTATGATGCAACCATTACAATTTTGGTTGTAAACTCATTGAAATGTTTCAATCATATGTAACCATTGTAAACGCTTGACAATTTTGGTTGCATTTCTTGCAACCGTTTCAATTGAATGCAACCCTTTAAAACTATGGCAATTTTATCTCAATACAACATAAAATAATTATCTTGCTCTTTAAAAAATATATTTCAAATGTGTGTATTTCATGCATACTGTACATGTCAGAATTTAAATGGTTTGATCAAAAAGATATTTAAAGTATTGAAATAGTTAAGTAAACTTGTCTTGTGAATGAAAATATATTGAACCAATTTTCATCTAACTTTGAAGGATGGTGATTGTCTAACTCATATGTATATTATCTAGATAACAGCAATGCTTAGGCATAGCAAATCCACCTCGCTGTCATGACTATCATTTTTACAAAATCACTTCACTACTTTTTAAGTTATTGCAAAATCATTTGAAAAAAATTTTGATTGGGTCAAGTCTTGGATTTTACACTTCACATTGCAATCATCGCAATTATAAAGGAAGGAAGATGTGTCTGGAAGGAAGAAATCCTTCAATGGGAAAATAATCTGTTTTGATTTGATATTTTTGATTTGATAGAGAAAATGCAATCAGACATTACAGGATGTGTTTTAAATAATTAAGTTGATAAGCATAACTTAAAAAACTCTGATTACAGTTAGACTCAGTCTATCTAGTTTGATTAGAGTCTGCTTTGAAGGATGTGTCTGAAGAAACTTTATTAATCCATTAATCCATAAACAAAACAAAAATAATCTGGCAAGGCAAAACAAACCTTATTATATCAGTTTGATTAGAGTCTGCTATAAAGGAAGCATCCTATGTAATTTAAATTATTCCATACACAGAACTTGATAAATAATTTGCCTAAGAAAATCTCCCATATTTTCCTCCAGATGTTTCCAAGTTTAGAGTTTTGAAAAATAAGCCCTGTTTTTGGTTTTTATTTTTTAATCATCAACACATCATTTAAACTGAAAACACTTTTCAGTACAAATGCTCTGCCCTAGTGAATAAAGTTCTAAAACCATGGACTTACAATCTATTGAATGCCTATGGTAAAACAAACTAAATAAAAATGAAATAAAAAATTCTGAAAATATTATTTGCAGTTTCATATACTTGCTATTTGAGATTTCTTAGCACTTATTGAAGTAATTGAATAAAGAAATAAACCCTCAAAAATCTGAAAACACTTTTTATTAAATTTTAACTCCCCCCCCCTCTGCATGAAATAGATAATTAAAATAAATACATAGTATAACACAAGATGAAAATAGATATAACAGAAA